CCTGCCTCAGATCCAATCTAAACCCGTTCTCCTTCAGTTTAAACCCATTTCCCTTGTCCTGTCGCTGGACGCTCTTGTCCAAAGTCCCTCCCCAGGCTCCCTGTAGGTCCCTTCAGGCACTGCAGGCAGGGATAAGGTGCCCCCGGAGCCTTCTCTGCTCCAGCTGAGCACCCCCAGCTCCCTCAGCCTGTCCTCGCAGCAGAGCTGCTCCAGCCCCAGGGTCAGCTTTGGGGCCTCCTCTCCTCGAAACTTTCATCAGAGACAGCTGAAACTGCCTTCCCGTCAAACGAATCGTTGGAGCCTACTTCAGCAGAGGACAAAAGCTGTGGAACCCCCCAAAAATGGCTTTTTGTCTCACTCAAGTGGGGGCGATGAGGTATAATGCGCATTTCAGACCCTTTTTGTCTTAATACTTTTCAAAAGTGGATTTTTTTTAAGAAGTTCTAAATATTCTTTTGTGGGCAGAAGCGCTGGGAAGGGCTGTCCAGTTCAGAGTGTAAAACAAACCGTGACAGGACCCGCTTGTTTTTTGCCAGTGAAGCGCCGCTGGAATCGCACTCATCTCTTCAGCACAGTTGCCATGTGGTGGGACCTCCGTGGCAGGAATTATTTCCTCAGGCTGCTCCGTGAACATGAGCCTCCGTGGGCTGGCTGGGAAAGAATTCAGTTGTCGCAGAGGATGGACGGTATCTCTGGAGAGACAAGCGAAAAATAATCTGCAGGAGCTGGCCACGCTTCCCTGGAAGGGTTTTTTTCATTATCTGGGAACAGCTCCCAGCGATGCAATGCCAGATGCTCATATTTTCCGTCACACAAATTATATTTCCGGTGTTAAAAATCTCTTCAACGTTAATCTTTTGCAGTTCCCTTTTTATTATCCTATCAAAATTAATTTTGTACTAAGATCTGAGGATTAAAAAAAAAAGAAAACAAACCACAAAACAACCACACAAGTGCTAAGCATATTTGGTTATATTTTTTCACACCATTACAGCTGCATATGCAGTTTATTCTTATCCACCTATAACAAGTAAAGACGAAATCGAACATCGAATTTTCATTATGTAAATAAGTCCCCATTTTAAATAGCTAAAAATAAAGATCTGTGGGTTTTGTCTGAGAAAAGAAGTTTTTCCAATTTCATCCTTCTGCTCTTTTTTTTTTTGATATTATTAATAATGCACCGTGCTCTGCTGCGTGCTGCAGGCTTTAAAGGAAACGAGTTATAAACCACCGGGAGCCAACTCAAGAATTTAAACCAAAGAATATCTCCCAGTACGACTGTTTCTTTAAATGAAAAGAAAGATGGTCTTTTTTTCTCTGATTAATGCATTCTAATGATACGTGGCATTGGGTCTGGCTCCGGTTTCTATTTTCGTATACATTTAACGCTGCTAAGATACTAAGACGCTTTTTTTTCTCTCTGAAGTCTAACTTCTTCCTTCGTGGAAAAACTCCACACGCAAGCTGCAGGCTGGGATCCCAGGCCACGCTCCCTGGCTCGGCTACAGATCTATTTATCATTTTTAAGGCACTTGATCAGTCTTTCCTGCTGGTTTCTGCTCCCCTTTCAGAGTGAACCAGCAAGCTCCCTCTGAGACAAAGACCAGGGCACAGCTCTGAGCACAGAGAACCTTTCGGTAAGGAAATCCTTCCTAATATCCAACCAAAACTTCCCTTGGTGCCATCTTCTCTTGTCCTACTGCTTGTTACTTGGTTGAACCACTCTAGAACCTCATTTAAGGTAGAAAGCAAGATCTCTTGGTTGAACTAAGGTAGAAAGCAAGATCTCTTGGTTGAACTGCTCTAGAACCTCCTCTAAAGTAGAAAGCGAGAAGGTCTCCCCTCAGCCTCCTCTTTCTGGGCCGAACAATCCCAGGTCCCTCAGCCGCTCCTCACCAGACAGCTCAGAAGTCGGAAGCACCCCAAGAGGCCTCGGCTGTAGCTCTGTGTGCCAGAACCGCAGCGACGGCTCCACTTGCCCTGTCCCACCTTGGCCTCGGGCAGTGCCCTGCCCCTGCCTTCCCACCACCAGCAATCAGGGTTTCGCACTGGGGAGCCAGTTGGCCAAACCCCAAACGACGTTTGATGCTCACATGAAGCCTCCTCTAGAGCACGAGGCCGACACCACTGACTTATTTTCACAGCCAGAGGCACCAGGCTGGGCACAGCGGGCAGGCTGGAGAGGGCAAACGTGGGGCTGCCCAACACACCCAGCTCAGCCCGGCCACGGGCTCATTTTCCCACCCAAACGCCCGTGGGGGCAAGGGCACCCCCCCGGCACCTTGTACCCCAGCACTTCTGCTCCCTCCCAGTCACTCTGCGCCCAGCCCCAGCATGTGGCAGGTCCTCTCCAGTTAACAGTGAGATGTTAAATCCCTGAAGCCTCTCTGAAGCAAAGACCAGGGGATAAAAATAAAGGGATAAATCTGGTGATAACGCGGTAGGTTGGCACGCTGGATGCAACCCTGTAGCCTGCTCGCAGGATTAATACTCTGGACAGATTTAGGGCTGCACAAGCTCAATTTCTCAATCCGGCAACAATATCAGCTCTGTGAGGGCAGGAACAGACGCCTTTGCATCAGGCAAGAACAAGACAAGCTGTTGCCACGGGATGTTTTCCTGTAACCTCAAGAAGAAAAGGCCAGCTCGCTGCCCACAGCCAGCGGGGCGGGAGCCCACAGAGGCACATTTGTCTCAAGCCTGGAGATTATTATTTTTTTTGGTAAGTATTCCCTTGTGCCATGAGTCCTAGAGTGCAAGGCCCGGCATACGAGCAGCCCATTCATAAACGACGCGGCTTCTGCAAGATGTATTGCCTCCAGGAAGTTTTATTTCCTGAAAATGTGGGGATATAATGAGGTGCCTCCATTCTCCATGGGACTTTCTGCCGGCGAGTTCCATCCCAGCATGAGAACTACTCTGAACTCGCCTTGAAATCAATCTGATTGTTTTGAAACACTGGTAAAAAAAAAAGTTCCTGACATTTAGTTATTTTGCTGATTGCTTAGCAGCAGGAGTTCTGGAAAATATGGGGGATAATTATTCTTAACTTGGTTTGGATTCATGATTTACACACTCGCCTGCTCCACTGCTAGACGAGGGCTCAAACTCGTGTAACAGCATCTACTGGGTTTGGATTATTTAAAAATTCTTTTAAGATTGTAAAATGCAATCCAAGTCTGTGCAAAAATTTTACGGAAGGTCTAGATAATAGAGCTCTAGAGCTCCTAATTTGAAGAGCTGCTTCAACGAAAATCTGTTATTTCAGGAAGGCAGTGGGGGGACAGCGGGATAAGGATTTTCAAGCTCCATGACACCGGGCTCTTTTCTAAACAAAAACAAATCGGTATGACCACCAACCAGGGAAGGGGACCATCCAGCCATCCTCCACACACAGGCTTCTGGGAGTGCTCCCCGTCCCTTCTTTCTGAAGTAAATTGCTGAAAATCGGATTTCCTGAGGCTGGCGTTTCGGTGGGATCACATCTTCAGCACTTCAGCATCCTTAAAGAAAACACAAGTCACTGAGCACAGCCAGCAGACCCCCCCAGACAGCTCCCACCGCTGCCCAGGTACCTCCACTGAGCTTAAGACACAAAACCAAGACAAAGTGAGTTTTCAAACGTAACCCTGGAGGCTAAGACCCACAATGGTCGTTTCTTGCACTGATTTTATTGAATAAAATGCATTCTGGTATGCCACCGGGCTCAGCAAAGCTTTTCTAAATTCCTCCATAGCCTCCCGCTGTCATTCTGCCCCCCGCAGGGCTATCTCATCACCCAGAAATAACAAGCTCCAGCTCATGGTGCGATCAGAAACATATTTGGGTTTATAAAGTGTCCCATGAAGAAGCAACCCCACGACTCCGAGTGAAGAGGAAGCACAGTCTCAAAACTTAAAATGGGTGTTTGTCTGAGAGCCCCCCAAAATGCTGCCCCCAGCTTACCTCCAACTTTCCTCCTGTGAAGCCTCTGTCCAAGTCAGGGCTGATCTTGATCCTCCTGCGTAACAATTTTACAGCCAACCCCAGTGCTGGTGTCTGCTTTGAAGCTCAGAATTTACATAAAGACACTTTTCTGATGAGATTCGAGAGGCAACCAACTTTTGGACAAAACGTATGACATCTTCAACTCCTGTTGAAGCGCAGCCTGAAGATCCGCAGGCAGAGGAAGCTCTGTCCCAGCCAACGGCTACTCTACCGAGAGCACGGATTTGCCACATTTTCACGCTGAGCAATAAATACTCTACAACTAGCGAGTCTCACTGACCTAAGCATAATTATTTGCAAGCATAACGCTGCTCAAATCAAGGCAAAAATCTGATTCTACCTGAACTAATCACGTTTTTACACCAGAAACGAGCAGTTAAGTGACAGGGCAGAACACACCACACAGGAAAATCCCAACAAAGCGGTTAGGGAAAACAGGATTTGAAATTGGCAATTATTTTAATTACACCTATTGTAGCTGTGCTCATCTCAGGCAGGCAGTGTTTTTCTTTTTTACTTTTCTCAGCTCGAAAACGGAGGCAGCGCAGAATTACATCGGTAACGCAACGGAGGGAGAAGCGCAGCAACCACAAACCACGTGAAACTTTAACTCAAAATTAAGTTGTAGGAACGCACGAGTTGCAACCGGCTGAGATTCAACCCCTAAGGATCACTCAGTGCGCTGGGACAGCTACGGGGCTGTCAGAGCTGACTCAGTTGCCTTCTCATAACGGTCACGATCCTGCCACGGGGCTCGTTGGGCGAAGCCGCGCGTCCTCTGGAGGGGGCGGGGCCGGCAAGCTGCCGCTGCTTCTCTTGCTGGAGGCGGGTGCCTGAGCAGCTCTCGAAATACCAAACTGTCCGGAGAGATGGATTTCCTTCCCAGCGCCGGGGCTCGCGCGGCTTTTCTGTCCGTAATCGGCGAGTAGGGCTGCGGAGGAGGTTAGGCTGCCCTGAGCCAGAGAACACGGCGATAACGGGAAGTTTCCACTGAGCTTTTTGAGTTCCAGCACTTGTTCCCTGGCTTGAGTCAGAGCCGCAGTCAGCTCATAGCGTTCCTCGCACTCTCTGCGCACCGTCTCCTGGAGAAGAGCGTTCTGCAAACAGAAACAAAGAGCACGTTACAAAACACCCTCAGGCTCCAAGGCAGGGGTGGCCGGAGAGCACCGGTGCATAGAAACCCTTCAACACTCCCCCTCCCCGGTTTGGTTTCTCTGAAATATCAGCATTTACACACCCTTCAGCCTCTGGGGAGGCAGTGGAAAATATGAAGTAAGCTATCAGAGGCTCCTTCTGATCTCCTGCCCAAGCTCCAAGCAGAGGGAAACCGAGGTCGAGTACTACTGCACCACTTCACTGCGATAAGACATTCAACGAGTTCTCCTCCCCTGCAGCTTAAATAACCGTGCCCTGTTTGGTTTGGGGGTTTTTTTGTTGATGACATTCTTGACTGATTATTATTTCCCAAATCATTGGGAGAAATGATTTTTAGTCGAGCGGTTTTCACAAAGTTTGCACAGTGATTCCTGATCCCTGAACGGTGACCGTCCCTGAGCGGACAAATGAAAACGTTTCCATAGGACAGAAGTCCCCAAGTCGGGGGGACTTACTCTGTGGAACTTATCTGTGATGCTCCTTTTCCTGGTTTCCAGCTGAAACAAAATGTAAACAAAACTCAAGGGCCGACACCACTGAGTCATGACAGTCAGAACTATTGAAAGTACTAACACAAGCAGAAAAATACCCTTTTTTTGTTGTTCTTCTAAGCAAGTAATTGTTGCCAACACCACGAGGTCCATGAGAACGGAAGGGAAGCAGCCACCAACGAAGAACTAAATGGTACTACGCTAAACGGTTACTAAAACTATTACATTTTTGCACGTGTATTCTCATCAAAACTTGAAAAATGATGGGGAAAAAGTCCCTTGCTGACCAATTTTATTTTTAGATTTTAAAATTTTACTTGGGTCAAAGCATCTGTAGGGGATGTGGAAACCCCTGAGGCTCTGCTCAGGCTGCCTACCCTCAGCGCCAGCGGCAGGCGGAGGAGCTGTTGGAGAAGGAACACAACTACACGCAGAATGAGAAGCGGGAGAGACGTAAACACCTAAAAGGACTTATCCTCTGAAGGCCTAACTCTGCAGAGAACTTCATAAAATCCAGGTGTCTGCCCACCACTCACACGGGCACTGATCGTTCACAAAATGATTTTGGAAGTGCTGCCTGAGGACGCTGATCTTAAAACCAGTTTCATTTCTCAAGCGCTTATCTTGCCATTCCCTCGCAGAACTGTATTAGAGGAGGAACTCTGTTCCCCAGGAGGGAAGCTAAGAACAGAACAGAGCTGCTGGAATCCCCCAGCCGAGGGTAACAGCGTGTTCCTTGCTCTGCTGAAGCTCCTGACTCAAAGGGTTCGTGTCCTTCCAAAAGCTTTTCCCACAGGTACAGGACAGACCGACCGCCAACGTCATTCTCATGTCACTAACACAGCGTTTCTGAACCTTTTTCAAGGAAGAAATAAACATCAACGCCAGCCCTAACTCACTCTGACGAGTTTCATTCCCACCAATGTTTACCAATTATTTTTTTTCTGCCACTTAATTACTTTGGACATTCCAGTCTAATCTTATCTCCAGTCCCTGACTTCGGTGTTTTCACTTTTCTCATGGAGCCAGTCCAGCACTCGCTCTCCTCCCTTCCCGTTCTATTGCAAACATTCAGCAGATGCCTGTGGTAAGAACACCCATCCGTCAAACTTCTCCTCGCATTCGATTAACTTTCACGCATTCCCGCGTTACAGCGAGTGCCTTTACTGGTGGGAGGAGGGACACAGCCCCACTAGGTCTTGCAGAACCTGAAAAATATTCATTTCTTGAAAACAGAACGCTAGCTGTAGTGTTCCATGTATTAAAAATGTCACGTATTTTGTGATATATTGTGTTTACGAAATTAAGATGGACTTTTATAAATCTTCTCATTTCCATGTTTCCTAAACCAGTAGCTCACCGTCTGGAAGGATTTTAGAAACCACGGGTCTGTAAGTAAACCCAGCATTTCCTCAGTCATGTTCCTACCTCCTCTTGAACTTGACTCAAATTGTGAATCAGCTGTGTCCTCTCCTGGGTTAATTTTTCCAGTTCATCTGACTTGTGTTTAATTTCTTTCCTCATATTATCCAGAAGTGATTCATTATTGTTCTTTTCCATTGTCAGCTGAAATTCGAGTTCGCTAATTAGTCTTTTAAGGCTCTGAATTTCTTTTTCCTTGTCTTCATCTTTCTCTGCAAGTTTGATCTGGGCATCTTGTAGCTTCTTTTCAAGAATTTCTGTCTCCATCCTTAAGCTATTGGTGGCACTGGATATTAATCCTGGTATCTGCGTTAGATTAGGCAAAAAATGCATTAATCTACATTCAGTGGAGATCATTAATAAACAGAATTAAGTATCAGAGAAATGTTGACTTCAGGGGGAAAAAATACAAATGCAAACATATATGTCCTCAGAGCCAAAAAAAAAAGCTTTGAATTTACAAAATACCCTCAAAGGACATCAGAGAGCTGTAAACGAATAAAGACTAACTCAGAACAGCGTTTAATGGGTACGGCCCAAATCAAATGGAGAAATAGAGGCAGTGATGGGAAAATTTAATTTCTTTACTGCAAGTGAGTATTTCTTTAGGGTTTTAAAATCATAGTCAAGTATTTGTAAAGTGGACTAAGGCACGCTGTTGTCTTCAGCTCTTTAGAACACCCAGTAATGTTACAAATTCTAAATAACAATGAAATTTCTTTGATTTTTTTTTCCAGAATTCTCAGGAAACGTTTCAAACCGTTTGAAAACTAAGGCGCAATTTTTGATTTGCTTATAAAACCTCAAAACCTGTAGGTGTGGGAGCTGGGAACAGCCAACTGGCCGTGCTGCAGCCACCAGTACAGACCAGAACGCAGCTCACTGGACCGCAGCCCATCAGTGCCCAATTCATGTGGGGAAAAACCAGCGTGGAGAGTTTTGTGACAACTTGTCATAGTCTGAAATAGTCCAAAGCTTTTAAAAAAATGATGATGTCAGTTTAAAAATAATTAACTACAGGCTACGGACAGCGATGAACTCTGGGTAGAGAAAATGGGAGAAAAGAAAGGACGTTCACACCATTAAGCTAATCGGAATAATTACTTATTAACCTGTTCACTTTAAAAAAAAAGAAAGATATACTACGACTGGGAAAAAATGCTGCATTATTTAGATACAGGACTATGCATAAAGAAGATTTTCCTCCTTTACAGACTACTTCATAGAAGTTTATATTATTTACTGCCATGAAACTGTCCCTCTGGAGTGTTACGCACCTTCTTCTGGAGCTCTTCGTGATCTCGCTGATATTTTGTGATGAGCTCTTGCTGTTTTTGCCTCTCAATGTCCAGTTCTGCTCTCGCTTCTTCCCTGACTTTCAGAATGGCTTCGATGTGCCGCGCTTCACCCTTGGCCAGGTCGATCTCCATCTAGGGAACCAGCGGCTTTTAGCAAAAGTGAAACAAATGCCCCAACTCCTTTTGGGGAAAAGACAAACTGAGAATATTGTCATTATTTTTCAAATCAAAGTATACCTAATTCTAGGCATGGAATAGGCACAAATCCTCATGGAGATTTAGCTTAAAACTGGTATATTTGTAAGATCCTCAAAGCACATTATTATTATTATTATTATTATTATTACTACTACTACTACTACTATATCGTCTACAATATTAGATACGGGAGTCTGGATTCTAACAGTAGAAAACTAAATTTATTACCTCTACTTATTATTATAGAAGCAGGTCATATGTTGGAGGCTACTTGATTAAAAAGACTAAAACAAAAAAAATAAGGCAGTATAAAAAACTGAGCTCGTTTTGAAGATTCAACAAGCATTTTTCACATTTAACACTTGAAGCTCATAAAGCTGACAACCAGAACAGGAAATAAAATGGTAGTTGATCATCAAAACAAGCATGATGTCTACTAACAGCTTTAAAACCACTTACATGCCCCTCATTAATTCGTATTTTTCTTAAAAAAAATAATATCCATAAACCAAATGCTTACACCTATCTTAAATCCTTTTGTAGGAGAGATTGCTGTTGTTGTTCCACTACAATAATTGAAGGTTTATCTGTGTTTTAAATAGAAAAGTGGAACACTTTATATTTATGCGGTGGCACAGTGACCTAAGGAAAAAAGATAACTTAGTCACTTTGTCACGTTTCCTATGCTTCTGCCCGACGAGAACATTTTGAGCGCGCTCGCTGTTCGCCGCGCTTTAACGGCTGCGATGCCAGAGCGGTAATTGCTCTCTCTCGCAGTCTTTATCGTGTTTTAATGGCAGGTTGAGCACCACGCTGGGATTATGCAGGCAGCGTGACCTCAGTCTAAAATTATACCCCGCGACAGACAGGCTGAGAAGTTTTAAAGGAAATGTAACGGATCTTAATTGCCAGCAGCCCAACCATTTGCCTGAGACTAACCAAACCTTTCAGGCACTTAGCACGTACTGAACCAAGCCACAAAAAGACTAGAAGTAATTTTAGTCACTGATTATGCAAAGCTTAAAGCACAAAAGTCAGTTATTCTGACTATTTTCGATTTTTCCTTTACAGATTTGTTTGTTGGGTTTTAAAAATCTTTTATATTCATTTTTGTAGGTTTTTTGTGCTCCCTCCCAAAAAGAAAGACGTGGTGGTGCTGGGGTGGGTCCAGAGAAGGGTGACAAAGCTGGTGAAGGGTCTGGAGAAGAAGTCTCATGAAGAATGGCTGAGGGGTTGCCCACAAAATGATGCTGAAAGGAGACGTTCTCACTCTCTACAACACCCTGACAGGAGGTTGTAGCGAGGTGGGTTGGTCTGCTCAGCCAAGGAACAAGTGATAGAACGAGAGGAAACAGTCTCGAGTTGTGCCAGGGCAGGTGTAGGTTGGACATTAGGAAACATTCCTTCATCAAAAGGCTTGTCAAGCCCTGGCACGAGCTGCCCGGGGCAGTGGTGGAGTCCCTGGGGGTGTTTAAAAGGCACACGGACGTGGTGCTCAGGGAGATGGGCTGGGGGTGCACCCGGCAGTGCTGGGTTAACAGTTGGGCTGATGGTCAAAAGGGTGTTTTCCAACCTAAACAATTCTATGACTCCATAAAAAACAAAGGATGGACCATCTCAGGGAGAAGCCAAATCGTAGGAGTGTCAAGCCTTCTCATCAAACGAGACATGGAGGCATTTTCACAGTACATTTCACTGAAATTTCATAGTGCTCTGGTTTAAAGGCAAGGCAAGGAAAAAAAAACCAGCAGAGTCATCACCAGGAGCCTCTCTGGCAGAGATGTGACTGCCCGGAAGGAACTGGTGGTCAGCACAAAGAGAACACGACTTTGGCAATCTTGATGGCTTCAGGACTTCCACTGTGCAACAAATTTCATGTTCGCTGTCACAAGTCTTCACTTGTCTACTGTGAGCGACAAAATCGTCCCGGGGTGGCACGACCACGTATCTTGCACTCCCAGCAGCCCTAAGAACCAGGCAGGGTACCCACGTGCCTCTCGCCTTCCCTGTCAGCTCCAGAATCACTCTGCTACGTCTGCTCTTTTAGCTCTGCTTTAGTTTGCAAATACCTGTCTTCTGAGGAAAGGACGGTTTTGCTCATCTGCTTCCGATTTATTCTGTAGATTTGCCTCACAAATCGCAGTTTCAGTTCACCTGACCTGCAAGCAGGAAGGCTCTGCTACTTCAACAGTAAATACATGCTGCCCTACGCTTCTCTGCCAGGTGTGTTAGGAAACAAACAGCCTGAAACCCAGGAAGTCTGGATCAGATCTGAACATCTGCCAGGTCTGAGAACACTCCCACTAAATACTTGCGCGTTCAGTTCCAACCTATGTGGGGAGATCACCCATTAAAACCTCTCGTACAAGGAATATCACTGACATGTTTGCACTCGAGGAGACAGGTATCTGGCCTACTGTGCTCCTTCGTGACAGCTGCCTACAGCTGAAGGAAAAAAAAAAAACAAAAAGAAATGGAAAGGCTGCCAGCTGCACATCCAGCATTACCTTCTCCCTCCAGTTATCTTCATTCCGCATCTTCTGCCTTAATGTTTCCTGCAGCTGCTCCGTTCTGTTCTGATGAGAAATCAGCATTAACTCCCTAGAAACCACAAAAACTCGTATGTAAATGCGTGCTCTGCCCAGCCCGGTGGCCTGCCGCTCTCTTGCAATTACGTCCTTCGTGGCAAAAAATCTTTTTTCCCCTTCGTTTAGGATTCTGCGCAATAAGTGCAGGAGCCCTGCCTGGAGCCCAGAGGCACAGCAGTAATCGCCACTTGGCATCAGCATAATGCCATCACACGCTTTATGAATTTAACGTTTTCAAGAAAATACTACAGTCGATCTTTCTTCTGCACGCGCCTATTTAAACCACAAACATTTTTAGTGTTTCTCAAGTTGAATTTTGAAGAACTGTTGTAATAGTCAAACCAGGAATTGTTGTATTTAATGAACTCGGGGTATTAGTATCATCCATTACAAAAAAAAATTGTAACAGGTTTTGAATTCAAACCACCACGGGCTTTCTATTGTTGGAGTGACTGCTTGTTATGTGAGGCTTGTAGTGCAAAAGCCTTGGAGACTTTAAATTCTTGTAACTTCGATTATTAGCAATGTACCCACTGGAATGACTCATGTACCCGAGGTTTAAGTAGAAAGGAAATATCCTTAAATTAACACACATTTTCTTTTTATGCAAGTACTAAAGTACAGGGAATATTCAAACCCTTTAACTATGATAATAGCTTAATGCCTCTTGGTGTGCATCACCCTCAGAAAACTCTTATTTTCTCCAAATGCCACTTTCCTGAATACATTTCCCCTTGTACACAAGGGAAACAAATAACATACTGCCACGCCCTAAGCAGAGGACAGACTTTCTGTTTTGCTAACAGAAGACAAGCTAATTTATCAGCAATTGGAAATTCACTGGCAGGACACTCAGATACTAAAACAAGTCTGTGACTGTTTGGAATAAAACTGGATACGGAGATGACGCTCCAAGCAACTTTAAAAAGCATGGATTTAGGTTGGTAAGCGCAGAAATCTGAAACAAAGGCACTCAAAAACCAGATGCCATTCCAGGAAAGCCAGTCCTCAGAAGTTCATTGCTTTATTTCCCGCATCTAAAAAATAATTACAGGGAAAACGGCGGCTTCGTTGATATCTGAGAACCTTCAAACTAAGATGAGGAAAGTTGCCCACATGCTTCAGCAAATCCTAGACCCTACCCAATAGCCTGGCACGTCGCAATATTTATAGCACTGTTAACAGTTTGCAAGTTGCTAATAACCAAAGTTACGAGAGTTTAAACTCTCCGGGGCTTTTGCTCTGCAAGCCTCACGTAACAACAGCCACAACACCTGCAATAAACGGGTGTTTTGCTTAAGCTTGAAGCCCTGGACTGCAAAACATGAACTTTTTTCCTCCTTTCTTTTTTTAATAGGCTTTTTTCTTTTTCATTCAGGTTTTCTCTATACTGTAAAAATTTAAACAAAGTCCATCTGACTAACTCCAAAATTTTGGGGTATGAGAGCTCTGGGCTGCAAAGGCTTTTAGAGTTTTGCCCTAAAAGCAGGAGCTGAGAGTGCGCAGCGGCAGGGCAGGGCAGGACCGCCCTGAGTGCCAAGAGCTGGGACCAGCAGCTCTCTCCCAGTCTGCCCAGTGCCACAGCCACACTCCTCCTTCACAAACCACGTCCGGGGCTCTACAGCATCAACTCAGCCTTTCGGAGACAACGACAGAGGTTGAGGAGCTGGCAGATGGGCAATATTTTCTTTGTCATCGATTCATCAAAGAGACAATTTAGGCTCTGGGAGACGACCCGTGGGGACGCAGCTCAAGTTACCTTTCTTGTTTCAACATCTCCACCTCTTCCTCTGTTTGTCTAAGAAGAGCTCGGAGAGCTTCCAGTTCGCTTTCTGATCGACCTGTTCTTCTTTTTAGATCCTCTTCTTTCCTTTCCTTCTCAGCCACCTCTTCCTGTAAGTGTTTGCATACTTGCTGGCAAATCAGAAGAGATTCCTCCTTCTCCTTGAGCTCTTTTGTAAGTCTACAGACAAAAAAGTGCCAGCACTGTAGCTACTATATTCTTATTTACAGACAGAAACTAAATAGAAATAATTTGTACCTGGAAAACAAAGTGTTAGGCAAAATCTCGTGTATGTTTTATGAAGTTAAATCTAGTGACTTGAATGCAGAAATAGGAAAAAAAAAGTATAAAAATTGCATTAAAATCATAAAATTTTTGCTCACACTACTCAGAAACACGTAGGTTATGTAAAGAAATATAATTCCAGCATTTACCTTGACTCAGAAATGCCATTTTCATATTTCATTTTCTTCAGTTCATTTTGACACACATCAAGTTCTGTTGACTTCACCCTGAGAAAACATTAAAAAACGTGCATTGTCCAAGGAAACAAGAGCCTTTACTCATGCAGTAACAAGAGCATCGTTTTTTGCTGTATTATCTGACTTGCATTGTCTAGTTCAGTTAAAAGGCAGACAAAAATCAAAAAGCTCTTTTGCTTCTTGCCAACATTTTTAAGTCGCTGGAAGTTACGCTTCCAGCCTAACCCGGGATCACAACAAGGTTAACGTTGCAAACAAGAAAGTGAGATCTGGCAACACGGATGAGAGTTTCAAGTAAGATATGAGTAACAACGAACAAGTAACAATTTAGTAGGTAAGAGGGCTGGAAACACTGCAGATTACTTGTCATTATGTCCTCGTTTCAATAATTAATAACCATGGTTAAGCTTTGTATTTACATTTAAACAGATGCAGATGATGTTATTTTATTAAATCGCACCCATATTACATTGAGATTTTAATACTACATTTGGAAACCCTTCACTGTTTATCTTACTGCGTTCACAAGATCTTTTTTCGTACTCAATACTCATATTATCATTAAAAGGCTTTGTTGCTAAGCATTCCAAATATTTGCAACCTCGTTACGATCAGACCCTCTGAATATAGGAACCAAAACCGGAAAGTGCATACCATAGAAGAATGAATCCTTTTTTAAATTTCAGGAAAACACACACAAAGACCAAGCATAGCCGGTCTGGAGATTGGTGGTACTAGTTCGTTGCTCTTGAGTCTAATAGTTGAAACAGTAATTTGAATTTTCAGAAGTGAATTAGTGCTGCTGTTTCCAACTGACTTTCTATGCTCTGTGCAGGCTGAGTTCCTCCCTCCGTGCGAGCGCTCTCTTTTCAGGCATCGTGCTCCAGCCCGTATTGGGTGACGGTCTATTTTTGCTCTATTAATTTAGGGTTTGCACGCTCTTACTTGAAACCAGAGGCGCGAGACAGTAAAATTACAAACCACAATAGCATGCTGGTACATGGCAAAAAGTCGCAGCGAATTTGCATTTGGGGCGAGATGAACTAAAAATAAAAAATAAAAATCGCAGTCACTGATTAAATATGAAAGCTTCCAAACAGTTTTATTGCACTCTTCCCTTCTTCCCAAACCTCTGATGTGAAACGTGACTTTCCCCATACATTTTTAGTCCAGAAGTTAGGAGGATTTCACAAAATGCATCCGACACTTGGGTGTTAAATGACGTGTCGGATGGAGCTGACTTCGCCCTCGCCTTTGCCGTATCATTAAAGCCAGCTGGAGGAAGGCAGCCCTGCTTCCACACGCAGACATGCTCAGTCTGGCGGTTAAAAGCACAGCGAGTTCAATAGGATGATACAATATTTTCTCAAATCATCGCGACAAGCCACACGTGCTGAGAAACAAAAAAGTCGCCTGTGACAGCTCTACGTGCAGCGGCAAAACAATCAAGCAAAGGGGAATCTCACATCAACAGCTTTTTGTAGTGGTCCATCTCAGCCGTTACTTTCTGCAGCTTCAGTCCAACTGTCTCTACTTGATTTGTTAAATCTGAAAACAACAACATGGGGCTTGTGTCTGTATCTATACTGGAACGATTCATTTCTCCACCTATGGCGCTTCATTTGCCGCTCAGACGCGGAGCTCCTCACTGCCCCTCGGACAGGCAGCGCAGAAGGGCCCTTGGTGAGAAGTGCGGGTTTACGAACTGTGAGATCTGAACTGAGGGCTCACTGCTTACAAACCCTGTAAGCCAGTTGTTTGTATTTTCTTAGGAATAACAAATCATTTTTACGGAAAAGGTTGGAATGCTGTCGCACCGCTGCACGCTTTGGCTCCTTCCAATTTCCATTCATGCGCTGGCTTTAGAGCCAGAATTTTTTTCTTTCGTTTGTTTGGGGGTCTTTATCCTAGCAGGAAACATCCAATTTAAATGTAAACATGAAATACTTTAAATCACACAGTCTGTAGCGAACGTTGAGAGCAAAAGCATGCAGGAAGGTGGACCTGAGAGTAACTTCCTAACGGTCCTGTGCGTAACACACGGACACTGACTTCATGGAACCCTGTGTTTTGGGTTAGATTCTCTTAGCTAAATGTTATCTTTCAGAACACATCCCCTACCAGCTTCAGTCAGCCACTGCTTTTTTTTCCCCAGTATACCCCCAGCTCTTTTCATTCCTACAACTAGCTTGATTACCTTTTCTCTCTTCCACTTGGAGCCCAAACTATTCCATGATTATTTGCACTGAAACTTCATCAGGTTTGGGGTTTTTTTTCCTCTTTAAAGATATTAATGAACTAACACAAAAACTGTATAAATGTAGCTAGAGTGGTGTAAACTAGTGCTTCAGTATATTCCAGAAACTGCCTTTCACACAACACCATCATGCTATGTTTTAATTTTTCAAGAGAGAAGTAGTCCACAAACTTTCAGAACAACTACCTGTATCTAGTTAGCAGAGAATATTTACCATGGACACCAGACTTTCAGAAAGTTAAAGGATCAAAAGGCGCCATTCGATGCAGTTCTGCCCGAGAGCATCGTGTGCTGGCATTTAGACAAGAGAAGACTCAGACATCCACAGGGACCGACTCTCTTCATTGCATAGGAAGATGTTTTTTACCTTGGTGGTGAGGGCTGTTCCTCCCATGACAATATTGAAAAGAAATGGAAAGTGAAAAGGTTTGGCAACAGGGAGCTTAACCCTCGCACGTAATCAGCAGCAGCAATCCTGTTTACTAGCACTCACAACCTTGCTGTAAACTACTGAGCTAAAGTTTGGTTTGCCATTTTTTTCATCTGCTCTCCCCACTCCTCCTTATCCCATCAAGATTGTATGTTTTCCTGTGCAATGAGTTAAGCAATCAGCAGTTTTGCAGGCATTAGAATTTTCCTGAAAAAAACTGAAGTGTTTCAGCTTCTACAGTTTCTCAGTGCTCCTTGCAGTGCCACTTCTAAGCTGGGTTTGACCAAGGACTAACTAACATTCAACAGTAAAAAAGGATTGAAGACCGCTGACCTTGACTCTTGAAGCAAAAAGAAACAAAAAGACAGAGATGGAGAATGGCATCTTCTCTGTTCTGCTCGAATTAGGGTGCATTCCCAGCTCCTCACGGCTGCACCCCTGCTCTGATGTACTAGATGCTGACTCCACGTGCAATAATGTTACTAAATACCTGGTAGTCTGCATTTACCCCTGTTTGTCCCTGCTACGTCAAGTCCTCAGGTGCTTTGGTTTGTGCTCCCAAACTGAGGGAAGGTGGCCTGAAGCTCTTCCACAGAGCTCTGCCAACAGCCCCAAAGTCGGATGGCAGTGCACGACCCCAGCGAACGGCGAGGGCTGCTTAACCGATCGTCAAAACCCCTGGGAACCAGCGGTTTATAACCCTTCGGTGCCCTCTCACTGTTTCAAGTTTTGTGCCTGGAAAACCAACCACGTTTCCGCTCACCTCGCTGGGAAAGAGCCCCTGAGCATCCACGCTTGCTGTCAAACAGAACCCACAGAGACAAATCATGGACAACTGACGACTTCTTAAAACCCATGTTTGTGTGACAGTCTTCTTGCCAAAACTGCCTCTCGCCTGTTTTAAAGACGCCTTTGACAACCAAAGCCAGGCAGTTACCTAAGCCCTGTGAGCTGCTTCTAAAAACTGCCCGACAGACACCGGCCCGAGCCGCGACGTTGGCTGCTCAGAGCTGGCATCTCCGCCTTCTCTGCGAGCGGGAAGTCACGGAGCACAGACCAGAGCACCTGCAGTTACTTTCGTTTACTTCAGTTTCTTTACCCGGGCATTCTTCAGCAATGTATTGTTCTGCACGCTTTTCCAAAGCTGAATAATTCAACTGTCACTTCCTCTCCTTCATCCTGACATTGGGCTGATGAAGTAAATGGCTCCGAATGCCTACAGAAAAAGGAGAAACTTTGGCTTCACGCATCAGGCAGATGTTAAACAGAACACGTGGGAACAATCTAATATTGACAACAGCAAGCTCTACGGCAACGCAACCGCCTCAACAGAACGCATGAAGACCAAACTGCTGTTCAACACCGCAAAAAATAGAGCTCTGCCTTCTCTTCGCATGGGGATGCTGCTACAGGGAAGTTTCTCACACACATTTCTTTCTGATCATTTAAAAAAAAAGTTGCCCTTGTAGAAGAATTACTAACAACTGTGGTCCTTCTTCTTCTTACTAGACATGGGAGTATGGAAACAAATTCTGGAATAAAGGAAAAGATAGTTCATTTCAGCTCTAGTACTTTGGGTGGCCTCTTCCAGCTCTGTTTCTTCTTTTACTCAATTTGTTCTGAGAAGTTTTCGTAATACCTGAGCACTGGAGAGGAGTTTTTCGCAAGGGAGTAGATGGATTCAATTATACGGCTGCTTTCTCCAAGTCTTCTCCTTGAGAGAGAGTTCCCACCAAAGTCAACGGGAGCTGGTTAGCAGAAAGTCGGAGGGATCAGACCCACACCCACAGAGACTAAATAATACAGATTTTGATAAGGTTTGAAAAGCGCAGTAAAAATGAGGAAACTAGTAAGGAGAATGGCAACGCAAATGGAAACTTCGGCTGAAAACGTGCCGAGTAGAGAAAAACACATTCAAACGCTTACGTAAAAATGTTCTCCAGCAATGAAAATAAAGCTTATCGCCAAGTATGCAAAACCAACAAAAGGCGTTCACGCTTTGTCATACCGAGACTCGTTTTAAAGCGTCAAGAAGCATCACGTTTTAAAGACCCTTCAGTCTGAGTCTCTCTCGATATCATTCACGTTTAATTTTATGTAACGTCACGATTCGCGGTGGATCTTACCACAGCCATAAGCAGTCACCAGCAACCTTGCAGGCAGCAAGTGGGGTCAGCCCTGCCTTCCACCACGGACAGAAGGGGGACGAGACTTGCCTGCACCTCTGTGGTTTAGCACCATCACATCCTCGTACAGCGGGATTCTGCTGTGTCGAGGACACGGGAACCAAGGGGGCACAGCACGGACAAAGACGAGACGTGAAGAAACAAATCAAAAAGAACCAAAGTCGGTGCCTGGGTGAATTCCCACCGACACGGCCCACGGTGGCTGCACAACAGCGAGCAAGGCTGCCCAGAAGTGGGTTTCAGGAATTTAACCACACAGTTTGCATCCTCTCCAGCTGTCCAGCCAACAGCTCGGTGTCCAATGAAGGCTCCGGTTCCCGCTTTGTGAATAGCAATGACTGGTGAAGTTTTCAATCAAAAAAACCCCAGACAACCACTGTGAACCATATTCACATTGGGTAAGCAATCGCTTCTGGAAGGCATCAGTTTTGCAGTTAACTCCTAACAGCTTCATAACAACATCAGTTCAGAAGCACGCGTGGGAGAACTGTGTAACTTCCCACGTTTCTTGCAAAACCCACCAAAAAATGTCCAAGATCTGGTCTCATCTAACTAAAAGCTCAGTGTTTTACACGTGCTGAAAAAAAGGAAAACCATTTGCCAGTAGTTCAAGACTTTCTGGAGAGGTTAATAGCCACAACTCAAATTGATATTGAGGACATGCAGGCCTCAGTCATTACTTGAGACCCTTTTGCCTCAGCAGCACCAGCTCAGCTGCCGGCGGACAGAAACTCCACAGCACAGCTCCCTTTAGGTCAACGCCAGTCACGGGATGGACCTCTTCTGTATCACTAAGTCTCTGGTCCAAAATGACTGTGCCTACCTGAGAAGAAACACACATCTACAAAGCGCATGTGTTTCCATTTTCAGAAATACCGTCCCTTTCACACTACCTGGCCAGGGATTGCGAATGAGTGGATTTGTACCTCTAACCACATCGCTGCAGAGAAAACAGCCCAGGGAGAAAGTAGTTTCGTTTTCCCTTTACTTACGCACAGTTTGGGGAACAACTGGCAGATAGTTTGGTTTAGAGACAAGCTCTGACTCATCGTACCAGTCACCGCTGAGAAAGAGCCGCCGGGGCAGTCCTGCCCGTGCTCTCACCAGGAAGCACAGAGGCTGTGTGGGCTGCCCGAGCTGCCCTCCAGTCCTGCTCGCTGGAAATATCCTGTCTCAGTGTACGTGTGCCAGCAGCAGGCAATTACTTGCAGAAGAATCACAGATTTTTTTATTCTATCAAGCTTTATGAAATCCTCCTCCTGACTCAGCGAGTGCAGATTCACAGAGAGGACGGCTGGAAGACACCTCAGGGTGTTCCAGAGTTGAACCTTCTGCCCAGAGCAAGATACCTGTGGGTTTACTCAGCTGAGCCTTGCAGACCCCCAAGGCTGGAGACTCCCTCAACGCCCCAGGAAGCCTCTTCCTGCGCTGCACCACTCTCTGCAGAAAAAGCTTCTCCTGAGAAGCAGCTGGAAGCTCCACAAAGCTGTGGCCGGTGTCCCCTGCCTCACCGCCACTTTCCAGGAGAGCTTGGATCCACCACCTTCCTCCCCCTGGGCACTTCCAGCCCACTGTTGGGTCTCCTCTTGAACAGCCCAGCTCTCACCATGATAGTTTCCTTTGCCCAATTAATATCATTTTGGTAACGCTGCAGGGACAGGCAGAAAGAGAATCC